AGATTGCCAGGCAACGAAACATAAGTCCGTAGCAGCTGAGTCGTCAGGACAGTTCAAAATGATAGTTCAAAATGATCAAAGGGAATAACTCTGTGGGTAATTATAGAAAACAGTTGACAATTTACAGTAGGCGACATGTGTCGGCGTATAACAAGTCAATAGAACAAAACGACAAAAGGGAACTAAATATAACTCCTAAAATCATTAAAGATACATTATGGGAGATAAGATAAAGAGCCGGTAGTTCTCGCTATATAAGTTAAAAACTAGATAATGTAAAGGGATTTGATGACAATTTAAGTCAAATTGATCCACTCTGAACCCAATCTTTTTAAAACACAGATCCTATTTCGTTTCGTTTTTATAGTTTAAAATTTCGTATACCTTGTCTTTACTACACTACATGTAGGATCTGGAAGAGTTGTTATATAATACTTTAATAGGCGTTCATATTGATGTGAGGAATTAGCCAATGAAACGGTCTGTTGCGGCGACTTCTTGGCGTTCTCTGCGCGGAACTGTGGGTAAACCCCTAGAAACGTCAACGCCGATTGATTAATCAATGTCTGACGTCATAGGGTCAAAAACCGCTCGTTTGAAGCCTGACGTGAAATCTCACTAATGTAGGCCATCGAAAGTATAAAAAAAACGAAACGAAATATAGATCTGTAGCTTATTTGAACCGAGATATTAGCTTTTGAATTTTAGGCCTAGACTCGATCATCATTGCTTAAGTCGGTACAATAAAAAAACATAGTCTCGATTATCCATTTTTGGATTTAATCACCAATGAGCGTTGCGCAGCAGATCGGATTCAAATCCAGTAAATATCACAGGCTGGCGATGACATCGAGGGTTTGGTTATGGTCTGGAGAAGTTAATTAATGTCTAATTAATGATTTAGATAACATTTCAGGCCTAAAGAAAGATCTGCAATAGGCAGGTCTAGCTCTTGCATAATGTATGTTTAACTAGGATGAAGATGGTACACAAAGTGTTATTTTTTTTTTATTCCGAATGTCAAAGTAAATTATGTCATTTTAGAAACTAGTATCATAATAAACGTTTTAATTTTGTAAAAATAGGAGGTTGCTACAAATATGGTTTCAGTTTTGTAAAAAACTGTCGAGTGTGAAATGGTTCTTATTGAAGTCAAATTTACAACACATTCGATATAGGCCTAAAGGGTTATAGATCTAAATACGGTGGTTAAAATAGACAATGCTTTTTAAATATGTAATAAACAGTAAATAAACAGTAAATAAACAGTAATTGTACTGAAGAAAACAGTTTTGTGATAATCTTTCAGTTTTGTGATCATAGTTTAATTTTGTGAAATGAAATGGGGTTTAACGTCCTACTTTCTGCTCCATCTGAGCTAATGGCGCGATTCAATGTTCGTCCTAGTGCGCACTTGAAATTTTGCCTTGCCAACCGTCATGATTTTTTTTTCTTGTCTCACCAGTAAAATCCTGAGGAAAAACATCGAGATTGAACAACATCGAGATTGAACAACCCGAGCCCTCTACGCTTGCGATCCAGCGCCTAAATCACTGAAACTTAAGACAGACACGACAAAGTTAATATGTTTGGTTCTTTTTTTGGAGACCAAGTGGGAACTTGGACTTCTTTTTTTAAACACGAAAGCCTTGGTGTAGACATACACTTGCCATTGACAATACCTTAAAAGACATATGCCCCATTCTTTGGAACCTTAAAATAGGCGAAAATAGGTCTGAATGCACATACTGATATATATGAAGGTATAGAAAGTGATTTATATTCAACTTTTACATTTTTTAATGTAATACCTAATCAATTATGTTTGGTGAAATACGGGAACAGTCCAAATTGAACGTTTGAAGAAAATATTCGAATATATAGATCGTGATTTATCTGTTTTATTTCGAAATAGATCAGTAATAAAATTCCCGTCAAAATATTTGAACAGAGAGCCATTTAAACTGGCAATTTCTTATCAGCTCTTATCTCTATTTATTATTTCGAGGAAATTAGCTTCTATGTGGCAACAATTTTTATGATTTTCTTTCTGTTATTCAATCATATTCCCCTCGCTCGAGGAAATATTCTATTTATTTAACTCAGGGACTAATCTTATTTTTGTCTGAGTGAATTATCTGGGCAGCACAAATGAAATTCTAGAAATTCAATTAGCTCTGTGATACACCAAGCGTTTTCAATCAATATTCTGTTGCCGTAGAAGGTTTTTTTTAAAAGTTCTCAAAACAAACGCTTCTCGCTTCGATGCCGAAATGATTAGCTCACTCGTGGAATTTGTGAAAAACAAAACCATCGAAAAAAAAAAGCAACGTTAAGTTGTCATTTAATCTCCCTTGTATTACATGGTGGATATTGCATTCCCCTCTCTCTATCCAGATAACAATCGATAAAAGTGAATGAATTTATGAGTGAATGGTCGGTTAAATAAGTCAGTTTTATATTTATCATTATACAGATCCGAGTCAACACAGACGAACCTATTAAATCTTGAGAATATATAGATCATATATTTTTATGATTTATATTTTCTTTTGTACTGAAGCTTTATTTTTAGAATGTAACATATAGTGGCTAATATGGTGGAAGATCGTCTATCAGAAATAGTAAATTAAATAGCCATCGCTCGTTACAGAAATGGACACTGATCACAAAGATTTCGTTCTATTTTCCTTCCGACGTAATTTCAAGCCTTACATGATTTTCGTCCATGAATACATTTTGGTTCCTGGCATTCCTCCGGGGATTCGTAGATTAAACAAATAACTTATAATTGAAAAGTAAATCATATTGAAACACATGTAATTTAAAATTCGGAACTTGTAAATCAAAACCATTAAGTTAGAAATATAGATTTAAGTAAATGTTGTTTTGGGAAGGTAAAAATTAATTATAAGAAAAAAATGGAAATGAAAAATGTAACTTACCCATACTTATTGGTATGAAAACCAACTGAAGAATCAGAATATATTCCATTATTGGCACCGCCACAACTGAACTTTAAAATGTCTATTTAAAATGCTAGCATCAAGTGTGAACACACTTAGAGTTGGTTCTAAAGAATATCGCCGTGGAATCCATCGCCTCAGCTAGTCGCACAATCAATATGAATTGTCGGATTTTTATTGCGACTATGAAGCCCCCTGTCTCAACTGAGGTCGTTAATTCTTGTAGCGGCTTCGATTCTCCATATAAAATAAACTGACATCCCGCCTCTTGTCTGTATACATTGTATATATAGTCGAACAAGGCGATTTTATTTTGTTTTGCGAAAGAATATTTACAGAAAATAAAGAAAGATATTTTAAAGTATAAGAAGCTGGGTGTCTGTAATGAAGACGTATGACTGCCAAAATGCCTGTCAGATTCCTGACGTCCAGTGACAATCTGCGCCGTTTTGAAGCAGATCCTAAGAATCTTTTTGTCAGATTTGGCCCCGCCAGACTTTCACCTGTTTCTAAAAATTAAAAAGGAACTAGCCGGTCGTCATTTTCCTAGTAATGATGACGTCATGTCAGCTGTGAACGACTTTTAGGGTGGCTGCAGAAAATTTCTTCCTGGCCAGCATCTAGACCCCGAGTTAAACATGCATTATGCAAGAGCTAAATCTGTCTATTGAAGGTCTTTCTTTGGGCCTGAAATGTTATCTAAATTATTAATTAACCTATCCAGACCATAATCAACTCTAGATGGCATCGCTAGCCTGCGAACTTTAGTGGATTATGAGCCGATTTACTGCATAACTTTCCTTCACGATATAACGATTAACTGGATAATCGAGACTATGCTGTTTATCGTACTGACTTTAGTAATGATGATCAAGGCTAGCCGGAAATTTCAACCGCTTAGTTCTCGGTTCATAGTGGATCAATTTGAATGAAATTTTCAGCAAATTGCCTTTACATTATCTAATTTTTAACTATTATAGTGAGAACTGCCAACTCGTTATCGAATCTCCCATAATGTATCTTTAAGCATTCTTAGACTTATGTTAAGAATTTACTCAAAATTGTTCGCCTTATTGAACTAAAATATAGTCCTTTGTAAAACTTTTGTTGTTTTAAAGTATCAAACAAAGTTTCGTGTTTCTGGATCAAAGATATTGCTCATAAACAGTGAATACAAGTTGAGCAAATTTTAAACTTCAGTCTGAGAATGCATTATGACCTCGGGGCTAGGCAGTGCAACATCGTTGCCAAAAGTGTCTACATCTAGAAGGGGACTTTGTAGAAAAATAAATGGAAACCACCGACTTTAAATAGGTCTTTCACAGACCGGCTTAGAACTTTCTCGGTTCATGAAATTCTTATTATTCTCTCTACCATACCACCCCTCTTTTTAGTGGCGATTTCTATTGAATGTTTGGCCTAGAATCAAAGAAGATGGGTTGAATTGACATTTTCTCTCGGGTTTTGGTGAACATTCATGATTTAGAAGCGAATAACAGAGCATGATTGTAATTGTTTGCTACTATGTTATTTCCAATATCCCTGACCAACCCCATCCATACAAAGGGCTGGACAAAGAGTTTTAGTATACTTATGTTAAAGTAAATACTTTATTAGTTAGTTATATATTTTCCCAGTTAAAATATATAAGTAGTTATGTTGGAAGACAGTAAAAAAAAATACTAATGAATACTCTATAATTAAATTGAATCAAAATATCGATCTCCTCACTATAAAATCAATGATGCCTATTTTGGGCAGGGTTTTCAAAAATATTTATTGCATCAGTTATAGACCTACATAAAATTTATAAGAACGTAAATTTAAGTAGTTTTCTTTTTTTCTAGAAAACTAATTGATGCACTACAAGGTTTTCGTCGAGCTATCGCATTAATTTATTCTCTCCATTTTTTTCTTAAAGGAGCTAAACCTCTATTGCTATATAATTATAGACGAACTATAAGATGGTGAAAAGTAAATGGTGGTCTGCCTTCCTATGCCAAATAGAGTTGTCTCCCTTTAACTAGCCAGAGGTTGGATTTTTATTTGATTTATTCACATGAATATACATGTGCATTCAAATTTACATTATATTTAAGATTAGCAATGTTTATTTCATTAATTGTCCTGGAAGTGTATACGGTAGACTAATCTTAAATAACAATTAATTCAAATTCCTCAAGCAGTCACAGTACTTTTCACAATTTGATAAATAGGCTAAAGATAAATTGAAGGAAAACATAATGGTTACTTGCACTATTTAACCAGTTCGTTCTAATTTTTCAATAAATGTAGATTTTTTCAGTTTTTTGGCCACAGGTTCATCATAATATTGTTCTGCAACTTTGCGCCGCAAGTCATCAATATTCTCTTCTGTGTCAGCCCACTCTAACACCAGACGACGACCGTATAAATGAGTACTGTGACACAGGGCATTAAAAGCTCTCTTAGCATCCTCTTTACTCAGAAAATCTACAAAACCGAAACCTCTATGTGTTCCAGTTCCACTTAGTTTTTTGGGCAGACGCACAAATTTAATCTCCCCAAACACTTTAAATAATTCTGATAGTTCATGAACCTTTGCTTCAAATGGGATATTTCTCACAAGGATTTTTGTTGTGGCTTTTTTATCCTTTTGTATTTTTCTGTCTTTGATATTGGAATTCTGTGTGGCTCGATTGGATCTTTTTAATTCTAATTTATGACCGTCCAATTCCACATTCTGCAATTCTTTCAGAGCTTTCTCTAGGGAAGATTTCTGCTGGAATTGTACAAAACCGAATCCCATGGACAACTGTTTACCTGGATTTTTTACATCCATTTTTTTGGCAATGTTGGCTTTAACAACTTTACCACATTTTTCAAACACAGCAGAAAAGTCACTATCTGTAGTTTCAAAATTCACATTTTTTATAAAGAGTGTTGCACCTTCTTCTGCTTCGTTTTCAGAGTCCTCAACTGCTTCATCTTTCTTGCTACTGCTTTGTGCCGATTCATCTGCCTTGTTACCGCTTGGTGCAGTTTCTATGTTACTTTCTTTGATGGGTGAAGGAGAGGGTTTAAACACTTCCACTGGCGCCCATTCCAAATATAGCGGTAAGTGATGAAACTTTGAATAAGCTAATCGAGTAAAAGCAGCTCTGGCATCATTAGGCTCCAAGAATTCTATTAAAGCTGTAACACAACTAGGAGGTAGTAACAAACGTCCAATATTACCAAACTTAACAAATAATGTTTTTAGTTCATCAATTTTTGTACCTGCTGGTAAATTTTTAGCTAATAAAACAGTTTTACTTCTTGGTGCATTAGCTTGACTAAAACTATCCAAACTAACACCATTTTCTATTAAAAATTCACGTGTTTCTGCAACGATTTGGGTTTCACCTAAAGCCATTCTTACACCAAGACTGGCTTTACCTTCAACATCTAAAATATTACCTTTACTGGTTCCATATTTCTCTGCCATTACATCAGCTACAGCATTGGCACCAAGGAATAAAGAATTCCAATTATGGGAACTTTTAGCAAGCTTCTTTTTCTCCAGCTCCTTCTTCTTCTTATAGGTGAGTCCATCTGCATCTTCAAACTCTTTTTTCTCTTTACCAGGTATAATGTGTAACATGCGTCCCTGAAAGATACTTCCATCTAATTTACTGTAAGCAGCTACTGCATGCTCAGGCATCATATATGTAACTAAGGCAAAGCCTTTTGGTTTATTCATTAATCTGTCCACTTGTAAACTCACTTCAGCTAACGGACCAAAAGGCTTAAACACCTCCTCCACTTCTTCTTCAGTACAAGAATAGGCTAGATTTCTTACAAACAATCGACCACTCTCTGCTATTCCTTCTTCATCTTCTGTTGTTTTAAAATTCTTTATTTCCCATGGCCGAGGTTTTTTCACTTCCACGTCCACCATTTTTTCTCCCACTTTCTTTATGATTACTTTTTTGCCATTGATGAAATTTTTACTCCTTTTCTGTGCTTGCTCCATGTCTTTCAAAGTAAAAAAATCAACATACGCAAAACCAATGTTCACACCATTTTCACTTTTTTTAATGTCTATTTTGCCAACTTTAAGCGGTTTGAAGAACTGGATAATAGTATTGGCACCACAAGCTCCTTTAAGACCTTTGACTAGAACTGTGTATCTTTTTTCTTGTGTATTTGATGGAGCATCTCTTGTGTCCATGTTCTCCCTTCCTGTCTGATTTTCATCTTCTTCCACATGTTCTTCATTGATCTTGTCCTCCTCCTCATCATCACTTAAATCAGACTTGGACATCTTTGCTTTAAGGTAGTCCATATCTGATATTTTAGCTTTTGACAGTTTATTTTTTTCTTTTTTTAAGGATTTGTCCTTTTTCTTTTTTTGAGGAGATTTAGTTTGTTCCTCATCTTCTTCTACATCTGAGACATCTTTTGTTTTATCAAGCTTTACTTCTTCTTTATCCTTTCTTAGTGGCTTTGACTTTGTTCCAGCTTCAATGGTGTCATTTGTCCAGATAGGTCTTTTGTCAGCATTGTCATGCACTTTGAGAAATTCTTGAAAACCCTCATCATCTTTGAGGTCACCCAATAGATCATTTATTCTTCCAGCACGTTCTTTTTTCTTCAATTCATCATATTCCTTCTTAGCCTTTTCAATATAAGCTGGATCATTTCTTTCGATACGCTGGAAAGCTGAACTGTCTTGTGAATATTTACTCCACGCTCTGGGCTTTTCTTCATCATTCACTGTTGTTGCTATGCTAACCTCAATCTGATCGGTATTTAAAAAACTTCTGTCTAAAAAACGTTGTGCTGCCTGAGCTTCTGCTTCTGTTTTATAGCCAATAAAAGCAAATCGTCTAAATAATCCTTCTCTAGTATATTTAAGTGTACAGTCTGTTAGAGTTCCATGAGCACCAAATAGTTGACGCAATTTACTTTCTTTAACCCGTTTAGGGAGATTTTTTACAATTAATCGTGACATTATTACGGTAATTAAAGTTTAATGTTTATAAACATGATTGAACTAGTATAACAGCAAGGGTACTTTCTTCCTGGGTTAGGATAACTTGTTCTGCAAGAAGACAAAAAAAGAAAATTAATTTCAATTTATGGTATCTTAAACATGACAAATTTGTACTCTGAAAAATATGGTAGAAATACATTGTATTTGTATTACCATTCAAATAAAGATACAGTGACTTTCTCTTACAAGTAGGCCTACCATTATATGTAATTCAGAACCAAGATCTGAATGTGACCACCTGTGACAAACATCGGTCAGTGAATAACGAAACACAAGGTCAATATTGGTAACCTCAAATTCAACTCATTTTTCAATACAAACATGACTCAATGTAATCAAACAATTGTAAAATCAGGGCAGTAGTAAGCGATACAGCATAAAACCTTAACAGACAAGTGTGGCAATTTCACTATCTTTTAGTTAATCACCCTAAGTTACTAAGTAACTAGCACACTTTTTCAATTCAGTCTAAAGTTTGTGACATATTTTATTGCCAATATATATCTTCCTCAATTTATATCTATCAGAGTTGGTGTGAAAGTTTGACTAGGAACTGTCCAGTTCCTTGTGCATGGTACTTATGTGAAAAAGCATAGTTACTACGTAGGCCTATGTATCTATTTTATAACAACTTAGAATTGATTTTTCATGCTGCTAAACTCTGTGAAAAATATTAGAAGTTCAAGTGCCAGTGGGGTTTCATCTCTATCATTCAATTAAGTGTAGTACTAGTAGGATAATAATTGATAAATGAGCCTTTTATGATGTTTTAACCACCTGTGGTACAAAACGGTTTGTTCTACGTATATATTATATATCATTTTTTATACTAACCTATAGAATCTAGATAGTATCGTATCTAATTCGGTCAGAAGAATATTAATATAACTCATCTAACCGGAAGATATGGATCCACGTGTTTGGATGTTTCCGGTTTATGTAGTCTTGAACATCGAAACATAAAATCTAGAGAAATAATGAAGGGGAGGACAATCAAGTCTAGTTTACAATACAGGTCAAGGTCGATTAACGGTACACGCGGACAATCGATGTGGTAGAGAAATGGCAGGTGCTTTACAAGCTATTCATTATGAACGGGGGAAATTAGAGATTTTAGATCAGTTACAGTTACCAACACATTCTGAATATATCCCCGTTCAAAATACAGAAGATGGATGGGATGCCATCAAGCAAATGAAGGTTGTTGAATGCTTTTTTTGAATACCACTCTCAAGTGGTGGCCCGGTCCACACGAAAGATCTGGTAATAAGTCGTCCATACAGTCCATACAGTCCATACTATCGTTGGTGGAGTCGTCCACACGGCATCGGTTCACTCCTCCACACGACTTAGTTAATTTCGGGATGTAGAAATACATTGGTTAAGTCGTCCACACGAGATTGTGTAATGTTACGGACGCAAGAATTATTCATAGTCAGTATAATATGAGTGTTTGATATGAGTATAATTTTCATTATGTCAACTGGCAGACTATCGCCAATCCAGAGAGGTCTCATTTATAAATAACAAACAACAAAACAAATCACTTTATTCAATAAATATTCAATAACAATTTCATTAATAAATACCGTCACTACACAACCACTAAACGACTCAAGAGGTGAGTCACGATACACTTTTCTTCCTCAGTTCATATAATTCCCATTTTATAAATTTTTTACCATGTCTAAAGCATACGCTTTTCTAGTTACTATACTTGTAACGTTAAACTGTGTGTTTAACGTTACAATTGATACTGATACAGTCTAAGACTCCTTACGCAAGTTCAAATAGGTTCAAACGCACAATTGTCCACACATATCATTACAGTTTGTATTGGAATAAGTAATTCTATGACAAATAGTGAAGACTGGACCACTAAAATAGTTACCGAACAGTTTTTCTTTGTGGTTATGCGTTCTACATTTGCATAGAGATGTTTCTTGTAATGACGTATTACGCAAGCCGCCATGACACCGGCCAGTTGAAATTTCGCGTACCAGTTGGGTTTCATCAAATCATATAATTATGCGGTAAGGCTTCACCTTTATTTCAATGGGAATTGATTTATTATATGTTAAGCTATGTGCAGTACTGTTTTGGGTCAGTTTATGTGTAAATTAAGGGAGCTATAGGCCTGTAACCTTTTTGTAGTCATTTGACTAAAAGACTTGCGCAAAGGAACTCCGTAGGACGAGCCACTACTGTGGCTGGAGTAAGGCGGAAGACATCAGTAGTGGAACCATTTCTAATGCTTTTCATGCAGGTTGGTTTCACTTTAACAGAATTGCCCCGTGATATAACAGATCAAAGAATAAAATTGCATGTAGCCACTTGTTATCTTCAGTTGTTCAGACTACCTGGCACCTCAAATAACCCAAGGTTAAAAGAAAGGTTAAAAGAAAGCATGCAGTGTCCACCTTACAACAGGTTCCATTGATTTATGATTTATTTTAGACCCCTATGCACAAGAGAATTATTGAAACAAAATTGAACCATATGTTATTACCAAAATGACCTAGTTTGTGTCGAGTGAATGTTAAAACCGATTTTTCTTTCTCTCTTAATTGAGAATCATATTGCCAAGTATATAAAGTTCAATAATAATAAACATAACAGAATAAAACATTTCAAAGAACGAATAGTAATAATAATAACAAAAGTCAAACATATAGATGTTACACATATTTGAAATCAGTGAAGTACATGTATGCTACATATTTTGATAATACAATTAAATATAAATGAATTAGAAATATAAACATTATTTACATAAATCATTCAATAAATGGACATGAAGATGGTTATCTACCCTTATAAAAACGAACGCAAAACGAAGGTTGTTTCATTAATAAGCTGGTTTGTAAACTGTTTTTTGATTGGTTCGTAGAGTTTAGCTACAATCAAGACCAGGGCAGATAATTTGAAATCGTGGAAACCCTATAGATTAATCCAGGGTATAGTGAAGTAAAACGGAATGAGACCACTGGGGATACAGAGGATGATTATTGGGTAGAATACTACTGTTTTTAAAAATATATATCGGCCCATTTTAAGTTGTCATACAAAAACAGAATATATAAACGGTAGATCATAATTATATCCTTTATATAGATAAAGATTCTGGAATGATTGTTGTGTGTCTAATGAATCCTGATTATCAAAATAAATGATCTTTTTAATATCTAATTTTTAAATCATGTAGATCTGTATTGTTTTGTTAAATTCAAACACAATAGGATCAAAGTACTGTAATATGTTTATATTATTAAAGGTACGAGGAGCTCCAGCAATTGCTATTGTAGGATGTCTTAGTTTGGCTGTAGAGTTATACTACATGGACTTTAAATCACGGAAAGAGATAGCAGAGTATGTTTCCGATAGATTGAAATATTTGGTAACAGCTAGACCAACTGCTGTTAACATGGACGAGGCTGCTACAAAAATATCATCAATGATAAAAGATATGGCAGAAGAAAGCGATTTGTCTATCAATGATTTCAAGGAATTGTAAGCAAAAATAACTTTGATTCCACTGTGTCCCTCCCTCCGGGTATTCAAATATATTATCAAATGAACTAACATGTTTAGACAGATACTGATGTTTAATTACTAAATTTTCATTTATTCAGCCCAAAATGTCTCTGCTTCAACAATAATATTGGTCAGTTGTGTAAATGGTTACTGGCCTGCGTCTCACTATTTGTATTTACAGTTCATGCAATAGCTTCTTGGAAATGTTTTAATTCACCAGTTAACAATGAATTGTTCATACTTCCAATTTTTGTTGACTGTCAGTTTTCTTCACAAATATTTATTAGATGTACGGAAAGCTCTGTATGATCTTTAACAATATATAGACAATTCATACTAGTTGGCCCATCGAACTAATATTCATGGGAATCAAAAGAGGTAGTTTGGGGTTTTTGGCTGGCATGATCATGTCTAAAACTTTATGATTTTCTTTGCGCAATCAAACTAGACACATGGGCTTCTTAATGGTCAATTTGGCTATTCTATGCAAGGTTGGAGATTTAGGTAGTTGAATGGTCTAAAGTTTGTACAGCAGATAATATGATCAATCCCATGTTTGTTTGTGAGATCTTCTCTGGTGTAACTTTCTAGCCTAGGGTCTCACCAAGTCTAATTCAACACTGGTTATAATCAACATGGACCGTAATTATATAAGTTTGTATTTCAGAGCCATAGAAGCAGCAGAAATAATGTTTGAAGATGATGTTACTATTAACAAAGATATTGGATTTTATGGGGCTGAGCATATCATCAGCAATACAGAAAATTTAAACGTTCGTATTTTAACTCACTGTAATACAGGTTCCCTAGCAACGGCAGGATATGGTACAGCATTAGGTAAATAAATTGAATTTTGGAACATATTATATACAAGTATGTGACAGGATTGGTGGGGATTAATATGTGGACTACTTCTAGTATCTAGTGCTTCCACTTTCACCATTTCAGTTTTATTTATTTAAAAGCATATTGAGATTATAGGTTGGCATTAATTTGATCAAACATAGGCTACTGTTTAAACTGGTACAAGGATAAACTAGGTTAACTAAATGACCAGTCCATTGTTAAATTCTCTTGGTTTGTATGTTAATGAGTACAGTTAGTATTAATTACTTGAGATTTTATCTACAATAAAGTAATAATATCATAATTTTGATTGAAACGTAGCCCAAACATCATATATACTACTAGTTAATTTGACGTTATCTTTTTGATTTGCTCATGGGTGTCTTTAAATGCAGTTGTCTCCCTTTAACTGCTGCCAATGTGGGTTCTTGCTACAATTACTGTACAAGGGTTTTATTATGTCTTAAATCCACCACCAGCCACCAGTTGTTTTGTCCCACTTGAGAGAGCTGTTAATTTTATGTGTATATATTTCTCCTCCTGCAATTTTATGCTTGATTTCAATACATATTTTTGTATTTTCGCAGGAATTGTTCGAGCACTACACGAAAGAGGCAAGATTGATCATGTTTATTGTACAGAAACACGACCCTATAATCAAGGTGCTAGATTAACAGCATATGAACTGGTGCATGAAAATATTTCAGCTACGTTGATATTAGACAGTATGCCTTCCATGTTGATGGCACACCATGATGTAACAGCTGTTGTGGTTGGTGCTGATCGTGTGGTTGCCAATGGCGACACAGCTAATAAAATAGGAACATTGCAGTTAGCCATTGTTGCGAAATATTTTAATGTGCCTTTTTATGTAGCATGTCCTGTAACAACATTTGATTCGTGCAAAGCTTCTGGGAAAGAAATAGAAATTGAAGAACGTCCGCATCATGAAATGGTTTCTATCAAAGGGCAAAAGATAGCGGCAGAAGGTAGGTCACAGTGAATTTCCCACAGTCATAAGATAGCTACTGTCTGAGCAATAAGCAATTCCAGAGCCACTACCAATTATTTTGTGTGCACAGCAGTGCTTCCACCTCCTCTTCGTAGAATTCCTACTGTCAAGCTTTCATTTACATGTAAGCCATATTAAACACAGGTTCCTGAAGCAATGACTGTGAGTTTTACGTTATCTCCCTTTACTGCAGACATGCGATCATGGCGATACAGACATAATCAAATCAAACATTGAATTTTGCAACTCGATTATCACAGGTAGACATTTTAACTGAAAAGTGCGAGATTTGGGATTTGCGATGATATTTTCTATCAAGGAATCAAGCCAATTGAAATTAGTAATGCAGGGTATTATGTGAAGGGCTTGATAACATGTACAAAGTTAAAGGAGCTAAATCGCTAACATTTGGGACCTTGAAATTGACACAAATGGGTCGCAACACATATAATAATGTAATATGAATGTATATAAACTGATTTACATTCAATCATTTCCGATTTTACTCTAATTTCAAATCAGTTATGTTCGTCAAAATACGCCAGAAGCCTCAATCGAATTGCAATCTCTAGCGTCTGGTTAGTCCAGTCTACACCGATAGTATTTATTGCGCATGCTCTCCAGTTAAGAATATGGCGTCACCGTTTAACACAACTTGTGGAATATGTCTAGCCTCACTCTTTGAGTGCCTTGTTTCAAATGTCGCTGAAACGCATTATGGTACACAATTACACAATTCGTGTACCAATGATAAAATGTTTATTTTGTCTTAGATATTGGTTATCATAAGCCCATCTTTTCTCAGTAAGATCACAACATCAATGTTGATTTAAATTGACAGATAATTCATGTTTGCAATGTCAAAGACTCTGGATGATACTGAGTTAGAGACTTTAAAGTGAGTTCAAGCCTCAGTTTTTCACCCCTACTAAACAACTAGAATCTGTCCACCACTGACATGCAAAAACACTGTTGAAAAATCACGGAGGAACTGTCTAACAAACATAGGGATCCAATTCGGTGAGCTCCTGGTCTATAGTGAGCCTCTGGTAATGAAGACAGGCATACGCCATACAGTGCAGTATGAGGGATATTTTGCCTGGACAGCAGCATTACAGCCTACTCTTATATCGAATGCCAACTGCCAAGGGTTCTTTTAGATGAACGGCAATATGTACATGGGACCTTGGTTTTCCATCCGACCCGAATGACTATACTTTATCCCTCGCCATGCCCACTATCCTACGCTACTTGTAAGGGAGAACCACGCTGGAAAATCCAGATGAACTTTCGCGGCCAATGCAGGGATCGAACACCCGACCTCCCGGTTAGCAAGCTAACGTCTTACCTGCCGAGCCACTATAAATGTTATACCAATTGCACTCTTTCAGGAATAAATTGTTGGAATCCTGCTTTTGATGTAACACCAGCAGAACTTATTACTGGAGGAATAGTAACAGAGTTTGGTGTTTTTAAACCTTCAGAAATTAAAGAAAAATTGGCATCCATTTTAAGTGAAAATAAGAAAAATAGAGGTCCAGGCTTACAACGCAGATCATCATACTCATCATTGAAAAATGCTGTAAAAAGTGAATAATATTGAAAAGCGCTTAAAAAGTAACTTGATTATAATTGTATTTCCTCTCTATTGAAGCTTTAATTGTTCTGTCCGTCACACTTTTTGGGAAACAATAACTCTCCTTCTAATTGAGCTAAAATGTTCAAACTTGGTGTAGGTGTTTATTAGGTCGATGCTTTGGGACACAATAACTTCAGTGATGGAACTTGGTGTATACTTTCATCAAATCAATACCGTGACTAAGTTCGATAATGAACATTTTCTGCTGAGGGTAAGCAGAGTGATAAGCAATTTGATTGGTTCAGACTTTCAAACACAATAACTCTCCTTCTAATTGAGGTACAATGTTCAAACTTGGTGTAGGCGTTCATTAGGTGAATGCCTTGATGGAGTTCGATGATGAACATTGTCTGCTTACGTTAAGCAATTTGATTGGTTATAATTAAGTGAGACCTATATGAAACTCATTATATAATTACCTTGACTAAGTTTGATGAGAATTTTCTGCTTAGGCTAAAGATCGATAAGCAATTTGATTGGCCAAGACTTTGGAACAACAACTCTGCTGTTAATTGAGGCAGTATATATAGAATGATTAAACTTAATGTTGATGTTCATTAGGTAAATGTCTTGACTGAGTTCAATGATTAACATTTCCCGCTAAAGCTAAGCGGATCTAAGCAATTTCTTTGGCTTTGATTTTATCTGATACAGAGTGATGAAACTTAGTGTATAGTTGGTAATCATTTGAAAAAAATAAAAGTGCGATTAATTGATATGTGTCATCTATTTATTTTGGGATTTCGATGAGATGGGGGGGGGGGGCACATTAGCCTCATAGTTGGCTTGTTTCATTCCATTTTATCCGAACTTGGTAATTATTCTCTAATTATATTAATTACAGTATTATTAATTTGTGGCCAAGATACAGTGGTTAAACCTGTAATGGTCTTGTCATTATTTCTTAATAAAGCATCTCACCAGCTACCCTTGTTAATAGTGTGCTACCAGTATATATAAGATACAGGGACAATTCTACAGGATGGAGACTCTTAGTGTTTAGTCTAGATTATCGAGTGATACATCAAAACAGTAATAGTTGCCTCTCGTTCTGTGCATGATCTGCTAAGGATGAAATCCAAAGAAGAATTTCTACTACAAAGAAAGCACAAATAGATGTTCAAATGATTTGCCAAACCATTCATGATCAGTTTTTCAGTTTAAATTTTGTCTATTTTCTTTTTAGTATATTATTATTGTTCGATTTATATAGGGCTTCTAAGGGCATTTACAAAAAACACTTTAAAAACATTTTTGAAATAAATATGTTTTTAAGTTAGTCTTAAATCCTCAAAATGCTACGATCACCTGAGGAACGAAGTTTGGATCTTCGGGGAGTATAGAAATCAAAGAGTTCTTTTAAATAACTGTGTGCAGTGTAAGAATAATTGATTTAAGCACATTCACAAGAGCTTTAAATTGAACCCTCACTCGAACTTGAAGCCAATGGAGTTTCTGTAACTTAGTCGACATATGATCAAATTTTCGTCTTCTAGTTATGAGGGTGCAGCATTGTTTTGCGCTATTTGTAGTCTGTTTAAAGCTGTCTCCGGTGCTCCTAATAGAAGTGAATTTGCATAGTCCATATGCGATGTTACTAAAGCTCTAACAACACCCTGGCAAGCATCAGTATTAAGATTAGAGCGTGTTCTCGAAATAGCTCTCATTTTTAGATGCATTTTCCGTATGGTACTATTGATTTGGGGAACTGGCATGGGGACATAAACAATAATTCATTCTGTAAAACTGGCTAGTCCGCTGCCGATGTTTGGTTGACTATCATGGTAGTGAAGAAAGGAGAAAGACAAGATGAGATTAATTGTTCTGTTATGTCCCTTTAGTTTAATCAATAGGTAAACAATATTTTTAAAGATACATGCCATGTAAGAGATCATCAAGAAAGTCGAGACACATTTATTTGTAATGAGTGCATTGATTGATTAGATTAGTGAGCTGTATTTGTCCGTCATAAGCTTGTTCCAGATAACTTCCAGCCTAAACAAGGGTTGCTCATACAGTCAAGAAATCCAGTGTATGTTGTAATTGCTATACATTCCGAAGTTGACCAAAATAGGGTTGACAGACTAGAATCTTTAGAATGGAATGAAATGAGGTTTACTTTCTCGTCATCACAATACTGCGGACATTTTGAAAGAACAATATGGCAATTTGTATTTCTATGCTCCCTAATCTATGTGTGGGGTAGAAGTTTTCCAGGACAGAAACGTTTCCACAGATTCTTCTTTGACTTTCAATTGTCAATGGTTCTTTTACAATGCATGTATGTATGGTGATTGGCGATATACATGCTACATACCTTGTTATCTACAAATATTTGCTTTCTTATGGAGTCGTGCTTCCTCATTGGGTAGCTAACCAGGTGGTTTTCCTTTAGGGATTTTCTTCATAGTTTTCCCTTGCCAGTGGTGCAGAACAGCGGGCCTGTCAAGGAAAACCATCTAGTGTTTCGGATGGAACGGAAAAACGAGGCCCCTTTAAAGAACCCTTGACAGCTGGAAATTGAAATAAGAGCAGGCGGTAGTGCAGCTGTTCAGGCTCGGAGTTCACAAAGCATTCTCAGACTTAAGATATTTCTCATAAACAGAGCTGGAAAATTGAGTAAATTCTTAACTTACGTCTGAGAAGGCTTCGCGAACTCGGGACCAGGTCACATTTCCACCAACGCACACTGCTTGATGTATGCCCGTCTTCATTATCCCAGTCTTAACTGACAAATTTCGAGGGATTGAGGGAAATAAACTTTGCAATATTTGATTCAACATAGTGTCCCTGAGTAAAATTTATGGTACATGCAAACAAACATCATTAATTTTCCCCTTTGAAAGATTTACGGACATGTCTGCATCGGTCAAAATTTCAATAAAATTCCTATAGAATGTGAATAGCGTACTATTTGCTGTTCTGATGTGTTAGTTCAAGAGTTAATTAATTAGTTCATTTGTACTATCTATTTATTGTATATCGAAGAGGCATATCCATTCAAGTTAGTCAATTAATACATTGCTTTTCCACAGATGGGGTGTGGGGTGGGATTCTGGTATATATAGTCTTAAGATGGCCCTGGTTGGGAATCATTGCCCTGGTTTAGAACCATATAGTAGATCTATATATACTCTTAAAAAAGTAGGGGACATTGAAATGCAAATACCTATGCAGGTTGTGATATGATAAATAGGCATAGACACTTGACATGCTTTGAGAGTATTTTCACAGATGAAGAACTTATCGCCCCAACAGAACCACTGAGCTCGTTCAGATCATCCTAGAGCCACTACTCAAGCCCAGGATCGATACATTCGTACACAGGTCCTGCGAAATCGAGGACAAACGGCCAATCAGCTTTCTGTAAACTTGTACCGAGTTACAGGAATTCGAGTTACACCCCAAACGATTAGAAATCGGCTACATGCAGCCCATCTGCATGCGCGACGACCGCGTGTTGTACCTCCACTAACTCGCCAGCACATTGCAAACAGGCGTCAATGGTGTAGGCAGCGTAGAAATTGGGGTAATCGTCGATGGGCGCGTGTAATGTTCTCAGATGAGTCAAGATTTACTCTGGATTTCACCGATGACGTACTCGCGTTTAGAGGCGTTTAACGTCAGACAGCATGGCAGATTCGGGCGTGGGTCTGTTATGGTGTGGGGAGGAATCACCATGACTGTCAGAACGGACTTGCATATTGTTGAAGGAAGGGTCACTGGTGTGCACTACCGTGACCACATCCTGGCACCGATAGTTCTGCCCTTTGCTCAACGTGCAGGTCGAGGTTTCATCTTTCAAGATGATGATGCCCGTGCCCACCCCGCTCGTGTCGTGAATGACTACCTCCAGCGTCACCATATTGTCCATATGCCTTGGCCAGCCACGAGTCCTGACCTTTCCCCTATAGAGCATGTCTGGAACATGATCGGGAGACGTGTTCGTCGACGGTCAACATCAACCGACAACACTGCAAGAATTGGCCGTACAGTGCATGAGGAGTTGGTCAGATTGCCCCAAATCGTGACTGGACGGTTGTTTAGGAGCATGCCACGACGAATTGCTGAATTTCTGAGGATTGATTGAGCAATTACTCATTAAGGCAAAAATGAAAAAAGTCCATTTTCACTTTTGACAGTGTATCTCTTTGCGAGTGAAATGGGGCCGTCAGATAAGCCGCCCATATGAACTGTTTATGTTCATGTGTAGGCAATTGGCCTGTTATTAACATACACTGGTTACCTCTAATAAAATCAGCAGTGCATTTCCGCAGTTTTGTATTGTTTCTGAATATCCCCTACTTTTTTTTGAAGAGTATATATATATTCAACCTGAGAGGAGTAAAATCAGACTATCCAGTGTGGATGATTGGATACAAATGTAATTAACTCAAATTGTTATGTATAATGTCGTGTGAAATACTCTTCCCTTTTCAAGATGTGTTCAATATCTAAGAGATGTGCTGTTTTAATGTTTATGCCTTTAACTTTATATTATTGTTTATATGTATTATGAATAAACAAACTTGTAAATCGTAAAGAAATTAGTATTTACTTGTTTGCTAACTCACTTAAAGATGTAAGATTTGGATAAATAGTTGAAAGTTATCGCTATTATATCTTAAAAATATATAACGAAAAAGGAATATATGAAAATTCAGTCAATTTACTTTATTCTGTGACTGTTACAAATTTTGTTAATGAAGACGGGCATACGCCAAGCAATGTGCTATTAGGCATTTTTTTTCGAATTCCATTTGCCAAGGGTTCTTTTACGTGCACACCAACGTTACGCAGGACACGGCATCTCATTTTTTAGACCTATCAGAAGGACTAGACAAAGTTTAAGAGTTTAGACTTATATAAACAATCTGTCCTGGCGCGGAGTAGGCCTTGTCAATATCAGCAGTTTCTTTTTAATGAAGCTAATTTATTAGACATCTTCCTGAAACTCAACAGTTCAAGACCAGTCTAAAGACTTCAGGAGATTATTCTCCCAACGTTTCCAAGCAAGTAATTGTTCTTCCATAGATGCGAGTTATAGTTTATTGCTCTATCCAGTTACTAAATGCCTCTAAAGGATTATGTCTAGTTATCTTTTGATTAAAAAGACATTCCCGGGCCTGCTATGTTAATATCATGCCAGGACGCTGTTCTGCAATCATTAGGTCTACATCACTTGTAATTCAAACGTCGAGTTACTTTAATTCAAATAAGTTTATTGAATATACTTGGGTATTGACATCTTTACACATCATTCAACAAACGCAGACGACAGTTTCCCGCCTAATATCATCAGGAAGACACTTGTGTTGCTCCAATAGTAATGAACAGAACAGTTTCAGTAGCCCACACACTGTTTGCTTTAACCAAAATGTGTCTACTTTGATATTTATCTTCTGCGTGTTTTGTTTAACTTCTCTATTATTTCAATATAATTTGATATAGAAGTATATGGACTAAAGAAGATAATAGCCCGAAGATCCGCCTACTTATTAGATAAGTATTAAATTATATGCGATCATGCAAAGCTGGTACAAAATGCCCATTAATCATACAGTCGCTTTCCGTATCATTCATTATTCATGTATTATTCATGTTTATATGAGAAAATAGCATTTTTAAAACCCCAGACGAACGGACGATTTTTATACGCCAACATTTTCACGTGGACGTGTGACACTACAGTCATTTAGGAACTAACTTTGACTTCACGTTGTGTATAAAACTTCAAGGATCAATTGACTGTGGAAAACTTTGTTAGTTAACTATGTTTTTATATCTTTATAACATCCATAATGCAAAGGTTACATACAGGAAACTGCACACAGCTATGGCACTAAATATAAGCTAAATATAAGTTCTTTATCACTTAGCCCGTGTTCTGTGGCGAGAGCCATTCCAGCCTCTAAGCCGAAGAGGCCGTGGGTATGATGTTCCCCGGGAACTCCGAACGACATCTCTCCTGGACCTCTAAATGATGTCTGAAGACCTCGCTCTTTCTTATATAGAAAGTACAGATTTGTCAGCTATTAGGGCGGGGCAATTACCATTATTGGGTAAGTGTTTCGCATGGGCACCGTTTTACGTCATCATTATTCTATTGGACAAATCTGTGCACGAGATGACTGGACGATAGTACCCTACTTTCAGCAATTGATGGTGGCAGGAAATGTATGTGAGTTAGTCTAAGAAAACTTGAATCTTGTAAAATACCTAATTATCCCATTTCTCGTTTTCACCCATTTGTTTAACCACTTCAAAATATTAAACAGAACACCTTTCATAGAGAGAGAGAGCGTCCCAATGCGAAAAATATTGAAATGAAAAAAAAAAAAAAAAAAATCGAAAGCGTATTTTAAAAAAATATAAAGAGAACTGTTTATAATCGAATCTTATGTTGTTTTAATTTAGTGGTCGTGGAAATGTAAACTAGAGATGTTATGTTAATTAAGGATTATTTTCTGAAGCAAACCTTATTGAGAGGCTGTTACAAGACTTTAGTGGGGATAATTTAGGTAGCAATATTTTGTACAGTTTGAATTTAATAATTAGACAATATTCTAGAGCAGCATGCGGTTTTCAGTAAAGCTAAACTTGCTATAATGAAATGCTGAGGCAACCTACTCATTAATTCGAAATATCTGACTTTTCCCGACCTTAATCTAGACACACTTTGGTGAATGACCTTAGACTAACATTAGATTGAGCTCAAAAAGGTTGTGGGGTGTGGGTCGCCACCCTAGAGGAGAATTTATGAGACCAAGTTTTTTTGCTGGCTTTCGATTCTGGGTGTTGATCGGGTGTTTCAGGGGGCTTTTCCGAGATACGGGTATGAGTGTAGCCAAGTAAGCCCCCCCCCCCCCCCCCCGAGACAAAGTCCCCTCAGACTCAGTCCCACAAATTAAAGGCTTCGTTACATTATACCCCCCTTTCTGAAATTTTTTCTCGGCTACGGCGCTCGATTCCATTATGTCATCATTCTTCCATCCCTCTGTGGTCTTATTTTATCTCATCACTATCACCGTCTCTGTCTTCATTAGCCCAGTCGGAGCAGAACAGTAGGACGTAAACCCCATTTCATTTCATTTCATCGCTATCATTCACGGTTATATTTCTGTCAACTATCACAAAACAGGCGGGATTGACAGGCAGGCCTCAAGATTATGTCCTATTTCCTATCCTCTCGTTCACAAGAATTTGCTCCCATGAACTCAAATGCCAGGAAATTGGCTAAAATTTTCAGATCCAGTATACCCAAAAATTAAAAGCTCAGTTACAACGGATGGAATTATCTGTGTACTTTCCCAGTAAAGATTATGTCATAATAATTAATGGTTGTATAGGCCCACATACGGCCGGATTTAATTGCAAAGGCGTGGTAGATGTTGGCTGGCTGGCACTTCTTCATCGATGATAGCTCAAGATAAATAAAACACCCAGGAACCTTTTAATTTTTCGGATAACATAAATTTTCATAGTCTGATGGACATTAAAAGTAAACTGTTCGGTGTTGTTCTTCCGATGGTTTGACATTTGCATGAATTGATTTCAAATCTAGTTGTCATAGTGGCAGATGTCATTATATCTGGTGACAAACAGTGAAAATTACAACACATACGGAATTTCGATGACTGTCTGGGGCAAATAACACTAAAATTGATTGTAAATGGCATGTTTGTTCAACAAATGTCTTATTATACAGCATGATAATATGACTTGAAGACGCTTTTATGGAATAATTAATTAAACATTCTTTATTTATTATTTGATTTGGAATATAACCTTCGACATATCTATTGGTCATAGAAAAATATGGATACTCCTCTTCGTAACCTATTTCTCCCGAATTGTGTCTTCATAATGTACATCACAATAAAATGACTTATAAACTCTTTAATGGTAAAAATAAACATCCTTTATTTATTATTTGACTGGGAGACAACCTTCGACACATCTGTTTGTCATAGAAAAATATTGATACTCATCTTTCTAACCCACTTTTCCTGAATGGTATTGACGTAAGAAGTGTACTTTATAGGAGTTTGGTAAACCAATATTTCTCATGGACCGAGAATTTTGTCACGAATATTGCCCGAAACTTTTATTATGATTGTTATTGGCCTAGAAATTCGGTGTATATGCCTATTTCTCAAAAAATGAATAAAGTCATGCAGTTATGAAAGGCCTAATTATATTCTACAATCAGGTTTTTGTTGTCTTGATATTTCGAGGTATAACCATCGTGTTGGATATTCTTGACAAGTCTTCCTTAATTGTTAAATAAAGAATCTTTCTAATTCTATAAATTCTGGAACAACTTTGAATGAAAACTGGCATAATAATATAATTATATTTACAATATCCTTTGGCTGACGTGGAAGTCCAAGATGCCCATACAATTTTAGGTAGGGTTTTATACAAAACCTATGGCCCTGAGTTTTAAAACAGCGTGACCAATTACATATTAATTAGAATGTACACCATAAGCCAAAAGTTTATTAAAAGAAAGGCAAACATTAATTACATAATACAATATATACAAATGAAATAAAATGAAAAGGGGTTTAACGGCCTACTGTTCTGTTCCGGCTGGGTAATATATACATATATAGCATAAGAAACTCATTTAATGTCTTCGGCGTCATATATTTCTAAATACATGTACAAGACTAATGTATTATTCTGACCATGTGTGCTATTATTCGGACCACATGTGCTAATTAATAAAGTAACAAGGTACCTATAAAGTGTTCCGTTAATCTGACAGTAAATCTTATAAGTGTTTCCTACATATCTATTTCAATATTTTAATTATTTTACAAATATAATACATGTTAGCCTGAACAATGTGCATAACGCTTATGCATTTGTGAATAGTTTTTCTTATTCTGGTATGGTTTGCAAACATGTTTCACCTCTCGCCCAACAGCTTGGTCTGAATATGGACCACGGATCTGTAATGCCTTTTGGAAATAACATTTTTGATTATAAACGGGAAGGAGAAGTAAACATCGAATTTATAGGCACGTTTAAAAGCACAAAGATAGGCTAATTTCCTTATATATACTTACAGTAAAGGCACTATTATTTACAAATAAAATCTACCTAAATGTAAAAAGCCGACTAGTTTGGATATTAGAACATAACATTCAATGAATCAATATGGTCATTAGTGTAACAGGAATCACTACATTATAATTTTGATTAAGAAGGTTCTTATTTGACTTTTATTGGTTCTTACAGATCTGTCAAGTAGGCCCACAGGGCAATACATTCTCCGACGAGTACATGGGTAAATTGGGAAAGGAATGGGGTCAAGCCGCAAAGACTATTTTCAACGTTTTACATTGATGATCGATTCTTTGTCATTAAACTTTTTCTTACTGTGATTGCAACTTCATCAGAAAAAATAGTACTGGAAAGCTTAAAGTTTGTCTCACAAACTATTCATAAATGTAAACACATGTAACACAAGCGAACCTTTATGCTCACCTTTATGATCACCAGGCGACCATCAGCTGAAAAAAATATAATAGAAAATGTATGAAAATGTAATTCCTAATATTTCAACATTTCAATTAAGCTTCAAGTAGCATCTTATATTATGTATGCCACATTAATTTTTTTTTTTAAAAAAAAGGCTATTATTCGATGTAAAACTTTCGCATGTCGTTATTAAAATTTCACCCAAACATCATTTGACGATGAGACATAAAATTGCCATTTATTATCGGAAAAGATGACAAATAATATAGATGCAGATCAATCCCATTATCGAACTGGTCACCTATGGAATCTTGCATGAAATACTACAATAATTCCCAGGAGTTTGATTCTGACATGTTAATTTACTGGCTTGCAAATTTATTTTGTCGGATTAATCAGTGCCGTTTTTATTAACTATTTTCCTTCGTGAAAATGTGGATTAAGGTATGAACAAATATTGATTTTAGTGTTGACGACCTTGTACACACTCGTTTTGGGTATTTTCAGATTTAATACTAACTACAAAAAAGTCAGTAAATCACCTAAATTAAAGATGGCATTGCTTACTAGAAGCAATGGTCTACTTCATTTTTTTTTAAAACGTGGAATACGTGGAATGCCCACAATATTTTGCATTCTCCAGATCTAATCGAGTTTAGATCTGTATTAACATTCATCAATGAAAGCCTCGCAGAATGATTTTAAGTGTTTAAATGACCCTTGAATGACATTTATTTATTTGAGTAGGAGTCAGTGACATTTGTGAACACCGCGTAAACAACTTAATATAAAACGATATCTAATAATATCAAAAAAACTATATAAATTCTTTAAGATATGCTAAAGCCCAGCCCACACTGTTGATTCTCCTCGTCCATGCATAAAAAGGAATTTTTACATATGCCATATTATTGTACTTTTTGTACCAGAAATATTACTTAAACCAGCGAAGCCGTCTAGCGTGTGGGAGGATGAAAGCGACAATATGCATATTTCAAAAGAGTAGGAAGAAATATCGCATTATTGCTTTTTTATTTTTTGTCGGCGTTGATCAAGATCTGTCAAAAAAAGCAACACAACTTGTCATTTTATATTTTCAGAATTAACTAAGCTAAACCCTCTTATGTTATTTATTAGTTGTATGCATTGGATGATAAATTAATGGCCGGAACGTGAATTCAGATGATGAGTGCACAGAGCTACCTACCATTTGTTCGGAAATCGATACAAGTCGTAACATAAATCTTCTGGAAAATCACAACGCTGTTTAGATGGAATAAAAACAGTTCCTCCCTTTTCTCGATTGCAAGTATAATGACGTTGTATCGCGTTAGATTCGCACGTATAGTACACATCAACCCCATTCTGAATGTCCGGATAAAACCCATCCAACTTGTTGGTGCAATCAGGTGGAATCATACACATGTTCGAAACGTCTTCGCCACCCACACATGTAATATTTTTGTCACAATCAAACGAAGCCATTGTTAAGCCCCGTTCACACAAATAGACTTTGGTACACACAGACGGATCAGTCACAAATCCATCGTCTTCGTGGGTGCAAGGGTTGTCAAATAAACCGCATGGTTTAGGTATATCTTTACTGGTGTCGCAATTCCGTGTTTCGGGGTTGAAAATCCCTGTCGGGCACATTGAAATTCCTTTTAATTTTCTATTCTTACACTCAAAATAATGTGTGCATCGACCAAACATATCCATATATTTTCCATCTAGAAGCAATTCACACAAGTTGGGCATTTCAAGATCGCCACATGGATAAGGTACGGTAGAGGGTCCCTGACAGGTTGAAGTTAAAGGATCGAACATTTGTTCATTATCACATCGGAAAAAACCGGCAAAATCAAAATTCTTACAAACATAGAAAATGTCACATCTCCCATATTCATCCGCGTAGATACCATCTCGTCTGCTATCACAAACAGGTCTCCAGCCGCCATGCTGTCTCGGAATACTGTAAGGCGTTTCACAAGCTCTAGTTAAGGGTGAAAATACTGCACTTTTATCGCATGCGCCCTGAAACACCGTCCTTTCTTTGTAACATTCTACGAAGAAGGGTTTCCATTCCAGATCGGGCCAGGGGTTTAAGCCATCGGGTAGCTGAAGACACGAGGCGTATCTTACCCAGCAAGGAATGCAGTGAGAAGTTTCATGACAATGATTGGCTCTGTAGTCACCTTTAAAAGAAATGAAATAGAATGAGTGGGGTGATTTATAATAAAATCAACCTGATATTGTCGATAGAAACAATTCACAGTTATGTCAAATAAAGAACAAATTTTGCAAGAATTGACATGCATTATTTATTTGCCGCCTTCAGCTGATTTACCGAGTTCGTTTTATGGTGCAAACACACCACACACACACACACACACACCCTTTTACACCGAGAGCAATATGAATACTATACCTACATGGTGATTTGGGTTCATAACGACCGCGACAGGCTACATTATTTATTTGTTGCCTTCAGCTGATTTACCGAGTTCGTTTTATGGTGCAAACACACCACACACACACACACACCCTTTTACACCGAGAGCAATTAGAATACTATACCTACATGGTGATTTGGGTTCATAACGACCGCGACAGGCTACATCTTCAAAATCTTCACATTGTAACGTTACAGAGGAGAAAAGTTGAGGGTAAGGGCATTCCATGATAAAACCATTATAGAAGGTCTCCATCACAGCATCTGGGTGAGCACTGCAATTATAATACCAAGCACAATTCTCAGGGTGTGGATCCAAAAGAACCTTTTCAGATTTACAAATCATTGGATCCACTTCCAAATCTGTAAAATAAAAGCAATCGATATGTAAATATCGTTTAACTGTTAGAAACTAACCCCGGTGTAAAAAGCGTTCTAAAACACGTTCTGAACTCCTACAAATAGTTTTGGCCAATTGTTCACATTTTGGCGTTTGATTTGTCTACATAAAAGAACATGTTTAGGAGATCAAGTGAAAATTTGGAATTCTCCATTAATCATGGCAAAATAGGTCCCGGAAGAATATTTCAAAGAAAAGAAGGTGTGTAAGGAAAAAGAATTCTGGGTAACGTTTTTCATCGAAATTTAAATTAAACTGCTTATCTATTTTAATTAACTCAAAATGTTGCTTCCAGCCAAAGAAAATACAATATCCTGTAAATAAAATTTAAGTCAAGATTTTCCGGTACCGCAATGTCCAGTAATTATTTATTTATCGATATTGTACCTGACAACATTCACAGTTAATAGATTCCCACTATCTTATATCTTTCGGAAAACATTTAGGATTTATTTTCATCCTGGTATATTGATTAAATGACGGTCTTGCAATCTCGTGATTTAGATTAGCATCATAATTTCAGTGCTTCTGTCCTGAAGCAAGACAATTCAACTGAATTGTAAAGTCGGGCGAGCTATGAAAGTACGTATAACTAAGACCCTTTAAAACAAGTTTGACTACGCCAAGAACAACACCGTGTTTTTCAGCGAGATTCGTCAAGTTGCGGCCATGGACGGTTGATTCCGGTCATGGACAGTTGTTCCCGATGACAAACGAACTGTTCCTAAAAAGAAAAGAGGAAGCGATAGGTTGGTTTTAGAATGCTATAATGCTAAAGCCGAGACCGAGAAGGGTCTATGGCCAAGATTTTTTTTTGAAATGGGTAAAGTGTGTCGAGTTTTGTTCGATGGATTCTTAGCAAATTGATTGAACATCTTTAAGGTATTGTAGTCAGGCGCGGATTTAAGAGAGGGGGAGGGGGGCGTTGGGTCTATGGCCAAAGTAAAAGGTATCGGATTTTGATCAATGGATTCTGGGCCACTTGACGGAATATCATTAAGGTATTGTAGTGGTGATACAAAGTAGCACCGCAATCCCATTCTGTGTTAAGACAGTCAGTGGCAGATAAACAAAGACGAACGCCATCATACAAATCGCCGGTACGGAAATCACCGAGACTTTCGCGTAATGGAACAATGAGCTAGAATAGGTTATGGAGAACGTATTAAAATTACCTTGAATGTAATTAATTGCTGTATGGTATTTTTAAAATGTAATATTACAATTATTTTGAGATTTTAGAAAATCTTGCGTTATAGCCTACAATTACCAATTAAGACACACAATAGAAATCATGCCCCACCCATAAAAAAATAAAATTACAACACAATTGATTTTATGTCTATTGGCTTAATGTTTTTCTTTCAGTAACGGCACAAACTTGCATGACAAGAAAAAAAAAAAAGAAAAAAAAAAAAAAAACAATAGGAGAACTTGTGCCAAATTCAACTACCTTCGTATATTTTTTCCTAAAAATAATCTTATCCGACTTATTGCCTAAATATTTGCGGTGTTTGATTTATAGATGTTGATTTAATACATGTACACGTTGCACTAAAAAATAGCCATTTGAAAAAATCACACTGTCACTTCCAATACAAGTTTCTGGGGTATAAAAACTGAGCTTGATGGTCTTACTGCCAACCACATATGCTAACTTCCTTTAGAATTGCCAACTTTTTATATCTGTATTTGTCTTGGTGTCATTAAACTCTTGAATTAGACCACATCTTAAATGGTGGCGGCACGTCGTTATGTTTGCTATAAAATGTGTTTTCGCTATTTTTTTGCCAGCCAAAAGTAAAATTCATTTGCCAACAGATAAAAATAAAAATTTGTATAAACCTAATTGGTAGCCTATAAATGATTTTAATTGTCAAAAGAAGAAAGGATTATTCAAATAGATCAATTCTAACCTAAGTTATGTAATGGGTTTAAGGTGTATTCACAAGGGTCGTGTTCATGAATTGGTGCAACGGGGAGTCCAAGGTGGAAACAGCGTTAAGTCTGGCGGGAAGTCTGGGACAATACCTGGGGATTTTATAAAATCAGAAGCCCTGGGGTAAGATTTCTGCTCATTTATTTCATTCTGTATACTTGATAAATACCCAGTACTTTTGTTTATAATTTGTTTTTTAATTTTTGAGTGGGCGGGAATAACTAATATATTACTATACATATGGTAGCCTACATGTAATATTCTCAACGGTATTCAATGAGAATTAATTAACAAGAATAGAAAGGTATTACACAAGATTAAATAACATATTATATTTGAAAATAGTCGCATTATTGGAAAATAATAATTCCATCGAGAGTCATTAACACAAAAGTACAACAAAATTAAGTAAGCTATACAGTACACAGCCACCCTACTAAAGGTAAGCTGCACAAAATGGGTTTCTAAGATCTGACAAATATTGATGTATTTTCAGCTATAGAGATTGGCATTGTAAATCAGAATGTCGTAATAGAGGGACAACGTGCCAGAATGAAAGTCAAATTAACACCATGACCAAATAGTTATAAAAATGTCACCCGAAGTTATTCAGAACGATCAATTCTAAACGGAAGTTTAAATTAGTTTTTGTTGATTTGCATTGTCATATAATATATACTCTTCAAAAAAAAAGTAGGGGATATTCAGAAACAATACAAAACTGCGGAAATGCACTGCTGTTTTTATTAGAGGTAACCAGTGTATGTTAATAACAGGCCAATTGCCTGCACATGAACATAAACAGTTCATATGGACGGCTTATCTGACGGCCTTTTCACTCGCAAAGAGATACACCGTCAAAAGTTAATGAGCAATTGCTCCACCAATCCTCAGACATTCAGCAATTCGTCGTGGCATGCTCCTAATCAACCGTCTAATCACGATTTGGGGCAATCTGACCCACTCCTCTTGCAGTGCCACGGCCAATTCTTGCAGTGTTGTCTGTTGACGTTGACATCGACGAACACGTCTCCCGATCAAAGAAAACATTACCCGGGTGCATGACATGGTGATGGCTGATCGACGATTGACCACATATTGCCAGTGTTGTGGGCATCTCCCATGAGAGGGTTGAGCACATTATCACCAATGAGTAGTTGGGTGCCAAAGCTCCTGACTACAGATCAGAAACGTGTCAGATTCCTGATATCCCGTAACAATCTGTGCCGTTTTGAAGCAGATCCTGATATTTTTTGGCAAGATTTGTAAATTCATTCTAAACAATGTTAGTATCCAGAGTCACCAGTTCCGCAAAAGTGATGGCTTCAGTCGTTTGGTATTCCAAGGGTATTCTGCTGATTGGCTATCTTGAAAAAGGCAAGACTATCAAAGGAATACATTATGTTGGCCTACTGAGACGGTTGTGTGAAGCTATCAAAGCTTCAGACTTATTGACCATCCACCTCACTCACCCGATTTGGCTCCGTCAGACTTCCACCTGTTTCCAAAAATTAAAAAGGAACTAGTAATGACTGTTTTTTAAGGTAACGGAAGAAAATTTCTTCCTGGCCGGCATCCTGGCCTTGCAACATCTTTGACAAAAGTGTGTACACTTCGAAGGGGACTATGTAGAAAATTAAATGGAAGCCATCCAGTTTGTACATGTTTTCACAGATAGGCTTAGCATGTTTCAACCAGCCTCGTAATACAGTAGTTTAAGTATAATAGTACACCCATTTCATCTTTTGTTATGGGCCGTGTGGTTTGTTAAGTCTCTTTAAAGCAACGTTACTAGGGCGATCTACCCCGTTTGACCTTCACACTCTTCAGTATAAAGATGATCCCAGACAAAATGTACGTACGGTACTACTAAGGGTGGAAGCATATCTAGGAATTAATAATTTTACCAATTACTCCAGTATACTGGTATCGTCTAAAATCGTGTGACATTTAACCGTGTAAGGAAAAGAAATCCAATAAGCGCAAACTGACAGTATCTTATTTACAGTGTACAGGCAATAATTGACAGTGATCAGAACGTCGATAATGTTGACGCATTTTACCTGCAACACGAGTGTAATTGTATAACGTCATTTAGTAAAATGCAACGGGCTTTCTCATACAATAATTAATTGGAATCTTATATTATAAATCCCTGACATAAATTAATTGGAGAAAAAGAAAAGAAGAGGTTGTAATTACTACTTATGTCAATGCGCACCGTTCGTGACGGTATTTATTTTCCTCCATATCCATTATGTCATGCCCTCGTCTAAATTAATTTTATTTACGCCTCTTAAAATTTTCAATTATTTCTAGAATAACCCTCGGGGATTATACAATTTCGTTTATTAGTTGACATTTCTGAGCTTGAATTAAACTAACAAGTTCTAAAAAGAATGGTTAAAATATAAACGCTTTAAAAAAGCAGGTCCATATGATATATTTGGTGGATAAAGAAAATTAATTCACGATGAATGACATTTCCAAACATTAATCCAGACCACAGACAACTATCTCATGAAATGCAAACGTTTAATTTCCATGTAGGTTTCACCACAAGCCCTTTAATTCCACACTTATATACTGGGTCAAGTTACAGTGGTAAGTCATCGTCGCGATTATCAAGTCATTCGCCCAATAAATGAAGATTCGATTATTCGAATTTCATAAAGAAATCATTTCCGAACGGCTCAGTTTTTAAAAAAAAAAAAAAATAATAATTTAGGCCGTCAATGTAATGCTACGTTCCGAATGTCGCGAGATGTATTACGAACGTGACGATTGGACATTCTTAGCTGATCGTGG